TGACGTAATCAAATTCTAGGTGTGATGCCTAAGGAATTCTAGGAGTGATTCCTAGACCTATCTTCTTCTTCTCCTTCTCTTTCTTTCCCTCTTTTATTTTAGGCGCTTTAAACAGCCTAAAACACTGTTCACGAATCCACTGTTCACTGCCTTATAACAGCCCCTAAAACAATGTTAAATCAGCCCCAAAAGCCCACTATTGTGGCTGTCCCGAATTGTCCTACATCAATTTAGGTATCAGAACTTGAGGTTCCGCCATGATGTTTTCACATTGTGAGGGATCCTATACTAGTGGATTAACTTGGGAAGATGGGAAGAAGATAAAGCGCTTCTTAGAGAACATATTCGTCTGAGGGATTTTCAAGATGATTTTCTTGATCAATTGTATACTCTTAAGCAAGGTTATATGCGTGTGATTGATTATGCAATAAAATACAAGGAATTCTTTATTAAATCAGGAGTGGTAGAAAGTGAACAGAGGACTATTGCTCGTTTCAAAAGTGAGTTGAGATCTGTAATTAAAGAAGAGATGTCTCATGCACATTTGGAAGATCTTGAAGATGCTATTGAAACGGTTATATGCAATTTGAGTTTTTCATAAAATTAGGGAGAAATCTACAGTTTTTAAGCCAACTACAGAAGGAGGATTGCTACAACCACCACCAAATTGTGTTAGAAATGCATCACAAGTAGGACCAAAACCAAAAATTGTCGTCAAAGATGCGCAACTGAAGTCAAAAGTGAAAGAAAACAATTACATTTTGCCCAAAACAAAAGAAGACCAGATTATTAAGAATAAAAAGGGTCCCATTCATAAGATAAAAGCATACAAATGAATTCTCAAATTGTTCAAGAAGAAGCTAGAGATCAAATTGAAATTTGGATACCATAAAAGCGGTATAGGATGAAAAATTAAAGCAAGAAAAGGCTGATTCGGAGCAAAATATGCCTTTAAAGGTCACTAATGTGTTACCTAAATTTTCTGATGTGGTGCCAACAAACTCATCTAATGAGCCTCTACCCATAACTAATGTCCAACACATACCATACCAAAGTCACAAGAGAATTGCAAAATTGAATTGCATGACAACATTTTGGTTGAGGTAAAGGTTGAGAATATTGAATCCCTGGTCATTGATGCAAGAGGTAACATTCAAATTGATTGTAAGCAACATATTGCAAAGCCAAAAGAGAATTGCATGGATGATGGGGCAATTCAACACTTAGATCAATTCAAGAGTTCACCTTTTACTTCAATTGATTCTGTTATTACAGAAAAATTTAGCTTTAGAGCTAAAAATATCATATTGATTCCATTACTATCGAAAATGAGGAATAAACAATGCTGCCAACTTGAAGACATTAATGTAAAGCCATGAATGCAATTTCAAAGTTTATGATTTCTTATAGTCCAACGCTTCAAAACTCGAGGTCAAGTTTTTTCCAACCAACGGAGAATGATGCAGAATATAAAAAACTCAAGGAAGGCTAAATTTAAAGAAACGATGACATTTCGACATTGACATGATTTCATAGAGAAATTGATAGAAATCTTCTATAATTATGTTTATAATATTATTAGTCTTATTTTATAATTATATTTATATTTTTTAGGATTTTAAGCTTAAGGGTGTTTTGATAATTTGCAAAATTTTCGAATATGGGCTGTGTGGCCACGAGTCATCTTGTGGGTGAAATTATTTAATTAGTTTTAGTTTTTGAAGTCAGAGATATTATGATAGTATCCTTTTTTTGTTATAGTTGATTTAGGAAGTCTCCTAATTCTATATAAAGCCATATAATGCTTATAAATTAATAGAGTTGATATTTTATAGAATTCAAGAGCTTTTGAAGCTTCTTATGGATTGTGTGATGCAATCAAACCCTAGGTGTGATGCCTAAAGAATTTTAGGAGTGATTCCTAAGCCTATCTTCTTCTTCTTCTTTCCCTCTTTTATTTTATGCACTTTCAACAGCCTAAAATACTGATCACGAATCCACTGTTCACAGCCTCATAACAGCAGCTAAAACAGTGTCAAATCAGCCCCAAAAGCCCACTGTTGTGGGTCTCCCTAATTGTCCTACATCAGTCTTTGGTTAATGTCAATACGATAACACATATAGGAAAATACCACTATCATTATGTTCTATCTAACAAGCTTTTCACATTGTGTTAAGTAGAGCTTATACATTACATATCACAAAAGTCTATACCAAGCAGCATGGCCCATGTGTATCAATATTGTATTGTATCCAACTGAAACCCAGATAAAAATAGTTACTATGAAACTGATATCCGCCAAATAAATGCACTCGTGCTCATACCAACAAATGGCTTTTTATGTTGTAATTTACATGATGTAGAAGTGATGGATTCCAAAGTTGAGTACCATATGATTCTAATTGTTGGTTGTGTTAGTAAGAAGGGCAGTGTTGTAATTTTCATTATAAGTATAAATAATAAAGAATAGGGAAGAGAACCCGAATGTTCTCATTATCTCTTTCCTTCTATGGCTGTTTCTCTCCTCTCTTTTCTTTCTCTCTTCATTCTTTTATTATTTTATTCAATTCTTCATGGTATCAAAGCCAAACCATGGTCCAAGGGTCTTTTTCTGGACTGAAGAATACGTAGTAAGGTAAAAAAAAAAAAAAATCTTCCCAGGCTCGTTTTTCAATGCTCTTTCATACTACCTTTTTTCATTTTTTTCATTGGAGAAGCCTTACTAGGGTTTTCCAAATTTTTCTCGTTTTCGGCAAAATGGCCCTTTTTTGCCAAAACAACCACAGCAGCTTTTCCAGTGCATAAAACCTGTCTTCTTCAGCTTAGAGGGGACCGACTGGGACAGTTTCCTTATTACCCAGGGGCTTTGACAAGTGGTATGGTGTTTTTGATGGTTTGAAGGTATTTTGTGACTGTCGGGTGTGTTTTCTGGAGCTGTTTTTACTCTGTTTGGCACACAACAGTCCCTGTTTTTGGTTCTTTCTTGCTGCTGGGTGTTTCCTTATTGATGGGTGATTCTTTATTCAATTACTAAATAATCATGTCGGAAGAAAGTGTGGTTTCTCAACAACCGGCTAGTGTTGCTTGTCACACTGTTACAAATAATCCCACTTTACAGACTACCACTGTGAAGCTTAATGGCTGTAATTACTTGTCTTGATCTCAATCCGCCAAGTTATCTATCAAAAGCAGGGGGGAAATCGGGTATGTGACAGAAAAGGTACAGCAACCAAAGGATGATGACCTACTTTAAGATCAATGGGATATTGAGAATTCCACAATTATGTCTTGGCTTCTTAACTCAATGGAGGCTGAAATCAGTGGTGATTATTTGTTCATGGACACGGCAAAGGAGATTTGGGATGTGGCTGCACAGACTTACTCTAAGAAGGAAAATATGGCACAAGCATATGAATTCAAGTGTAGAATTCACAATACTAAGCAGCGGGATTCTACTGTTGTCACTTTTTTCCATACCCTTCGTGCTTTATGGAAGGAATTGGATCGCTATCAGACACTTGCGATGTTTAGTGCCGCAGATGCATTGAGATTGCAAAAGTTGATTCAGCAAGAACGGATTATTGAGTTTCTTGCTGGGTTAAATCCCATGTATGATCAACTCCATATCCAAATTTTGGGTAGAGAGCCACTTCCATTTCTGCAAGAGGTGTTTGCTTATGTTCAGCACGAGGCAAGCATATGCGAGGTTATGCTACACCCGCAGTCCCACGGAGAGTTTAGTTCTTTTTTCTACTATTCCTACGGATTTACGTTTGGTGGCAAGAAACTTGATAAGGGTCAGTCTGGTGATTCTTCTGATGACAAGGATAAGCTTTATTGTGATTTTTGTCACCGCTCGCGACACAATCGGGAGTAAGGGTGCAACTCGGGCTGGCTCAACCCTAGCAACCCGAGCCCAGCCCGAGTTTTTTTAGGGCTTGAGCAACTATATTTTGTAATTTGGACGGGCCTGGGTAGATTTTTGATGCCTGAATTGTAATTCGGACCGGGCTTGGGCAGAATCAGTGGCCAACCCGAGCAACCTGAACCCGAATTGAATTTAATATATTATATAAATTATATAATATATATAAAAATTAAATAAAAGAGTTGTCCTTTATTTTAATTTTTCATTTTTTTTGGCTAGTCTTTCACCCTTGGATTAGCATCTTTTATGTGGATCATTAGATTAAATCTAAAAAGAAAACCCTACCTTATCTCTCTCTCAGACTCATTTCATTTGTTCAGGAGAGTTGAACTTTGAAGAACGGCGGAGATGCCACCAACAACGACGCCACCCTTTCGATAAGCTTCGACGCCACAAAAAACTGGTAGATCCCTCTCTGTGTTTGCATTTATGCTTCAATTTGTCTATTTTTGGTCACTCGTCATTCGATTACCACTCAAAATCGGTGGATCTATGAGTTTAAAAATTTTTCTTAATAGATTTGCAAAATATGTTTATGTTAATGAAATTTTGTGTATATATATTTGTTTGGGTTAGTGAAATTTTGTTCTTGCATTTCGAATATGTAACTGATTTATGTTCTCGGGTGTAACGGAAATTCTTGCAATGCAACTGTTGTGATGTATATAATAATTATATTGATTCACATTAAATATATATATATAATCTGGGATTGCATTTCTTGTCTTCGGTTTAATTAAATAACATCATTTATATAAAAACAAAGTCATATTGAATTAAAACTGAGCCGACCAAGCCTGTGCTCTGCTTGCTTGTGTTTGATTCCCAATTGATATATTCAGTAAATATTTGTTTTTGTGTTTCTTTAGTTATGTTATACATATGATTAGATAAAGAGTGCCATATTTATTTATTTGTTTGTAAATATCATCATATTTTTTTCTTCAGTGTAGAGGAAGCTCTTGCAAGATTGTATGTCAGACATGATTGGGGAAACTGATGGCGAAAATAACAAAGAGAAAGATCCAGTTGGGGTGGTGCAAAACCTACGGAAGGTAAGCGCAAGAAACCATATAAATCTAAGTCTCTAGTGTGGGATCATTTTACAAAGATTATACAAACTAATGAGAGTAAAGCAGAATGAGCAAATTGCAACTATTTTGGACGTGAATTTGCTTGTCCAAGTGTTTTAGGTACTAGCACACTTTAGAGACACCTTAAGCAATGCTCTTATTATGACGGTAATAAGGACCCAACCCAACAACATTTGTCTTTCTCCTCAACAGTTGATAGTCAAGCTCAAATTGTGAATTGGAAATTTGATCAAGAACATTGTCGTAGGGAACTTGCTTGTATGATTATCATTGATAAACTACCCTTTAGTTTTGTGGAGAAAGAGGGTTTTAAAAGGTTTGTGAATGCCTTGCAACCAAAATTTCACATTGTTTCAAGAACCACAATCACCAAAGATTGCACAAAAATTTATAATTTTGAAAGGAAACTTTTGAAAGCAATCTTTCAGAATTCAGCTTCACGAGTTTGTCTCACCACAGATTTGTGGACTTCCATTCAAAACCTTGGGTACATGTGTCTCATAGCACATTACGTTGATATTGATTGGAAGTTACAAAAAAAGTTACCAATTTTCGTGTTCTTCCAAGTCCACATCATGGTGAGGTAATTGCACAAGCTGTGGAAACATGCTTACTAGAGTGGCAATTGGAAAAATTAGGCACACTTACGGTAGATAACGCAAGCTCCAACGATGTAGCAGCTTTAAGTTTAAAAAGGAAGCTTGTTAAGAGGGATGGGTTGTTATTAAATGGTGATTTTTTTCATGTGAGGTGTTTTGCTCAAATCCTAAATCTGATTGTGAGGGATGGAATTGAGGAGGCTAAGAGTTCAATATTGGCTCTTAGAGATTATGTGAAATATGTAAGGAGTTCCTCATCTCGATTGCTGATGTTCAAAAAATGTGCCGAGGAGGAAAGAGTTTTGGGTAAGAGGGCTTTGTGTTTAGATGTAGAAACGCGATGGAATTCAACTTATATCATGTTAAACAATGCAATTGAATATCAATTAGTATTTGAGAGATTGGAGGAGAAGGATGTGTGTTTCAAAATCGAGGTTAAGAATGTTACGACGGAGGAGGATTGGATGACAGTTAAAAGTCTTCACAAGTTCCTTGAGAACTTTTATGTGATAACAAAGCGTGTCTCCAGTTCCAAGTATGTGACTTCTAATTATTTCTTTCTTGAAGACCAATAGGATTCAAGCTCTCCTCTTGAGTTGGGCAAATCATGAGAACGAGTTCTTTTCTAGCATGGCCATGAAAATGAAATTGAAGTTTGAGAAGTATTATAACATCGAAAAGATTAATCCTTTGTTGATTGTTGCTGTTGTTTTAGATCCACGTTACAAGTTGAAGTATGTTAAGTTTTCTTTCACAAGATATTATTCCATTAGTGATGTTGATGCTATGATTGATATAGTGAAGCTTATCATGAAGCAACTTTATGAGCATTACTCCTCCTTTGTGTTAGAATCTATGGAAAATGTGGGTGTCTCCAAAGGTGGAAATGATGTTAGAATGGATGATCTTGGGGTTTCAAGTGTTGGGGTTGATATGCATAAACAAGATTGGCATCAATTCTTGAAAGCTGAAGAAACTGTGGTCATTAAATCCGAGTTTGATCGTTATTTGGATTTCTAGCATGGCCATGAAAATGAAATTGAAGTTTGAGAAGTATTGTAACATCGAGAAGATTAATCCTTTGTTGATTGTTGCTGTTGTTTTAGATCCACGTTACAAGTTGAAGTATGTTAAGTTTTCTTTCACAAGATATTATTCCATTAGTGATGTTGATGCTATGATTGAAAAAGTGAAGCTTATCATGAAGCAACTTTATGACCATTACTCCTCCTTTGTGTTAGAATCTATGGAAAATGTGGGTGTCTCCAAAGGTGGAAATGATGTTAGAATGGATGATCTTGGGGTTTCAAGTGTTGGGGTTGATATGCATAAACAAGATTGGCATCAATTCTTGAAAGCTGAAGAAACTGTGGTCATTAAATCCGAGTTTGATCGTTATTTGGAAGATGGGGTTGAAGAGGAATCCGAACACTTTGACATTTTAGCTTGGTAGAAAATGAAAGCTTCTACATATCGTGTGCTTTGTCTTATAGCACGTGATATTTTATCCATTCCTACATCAACTGTTGCTTTAGAATCGGCATTTAGCATCGGGGGTCGAGTACTTGATCAATTTCGCAGTTCTTTAACTCCTAAAATTGTGGAGGCTTTGATTTGTGGACAAGATTGGTTAAGGAGTTCATCAAGTCCAATTGATGTTGAAGAAAAATTAGAGGATCTTGAGAAACTAGAGTCAAGTAAATTAGTCTTTACACTTGTGCTTTGTTTTTAATTTACAAATCTTATTATATTATCTCAAGTATTTTAATTTTTGCAGCCATAACGGATGAAATTGGTACTCTTTCTATATCGAGTTCAAGTAATGTTTGAAAGAAATTTTACCACGAGGTAAGAATAATTTAATATTTCATTTGATTTGTATTATTTTATTGGAGTTTTTTGTAATTATGTTCTGTTTTTTTTTAGGACATGGTTGCATTGAGATGAAGATGTGAAGATCAAAATATGAAATTTCTGTTAGATTGAAGTTTTTGCTGGACTGCTACTTGGATCACTGCTTTTTATTTTGTTGATTTCAGTTTATGTATGGAATAATGAAGCACTGTTTGATGTATGGAATAATGAACCATTGTTGTTTTCAATTTATGTTTGGCATCTAGGATGATGTTGAAGTTTGTATTGAAGTTTGATGATGTTGAAGTTTGTTGTGTGGAAGTTTTATATGTACTAGACTACTAGTGTTTGTGGCTGTTGTTTGATTTATGCACCAGATTTGAAATCTATTGATTATAGCTAAGCAGTACTCAGATTATTTTGTGGAAGCAGATTGTTGGACTTGTGAATTTCGGGCAATTCGGGCTAACCCCAGTTTGGCTTCGAAAGCTTGGTCCGGGCTTGAGCAGCAATGCTCGGGTTGATGGTTGGGCTTGGGCGGGCTTGGGCACTGCCAAATACAATTCGGGCTGGGCTTGGGCAAACCCCCAACCCGACCAAACCCGCCCGAGTTACACCCCTAATCAGGAGCACTATTGGAAACTTCATGGTCGTCCTCCGTTAGGGGGTAGAGGCGGTCACACTATTGGTAGAGGTGGATCGTTGATTCTGGTGCTTCTGATTATATGACTAGTTTGTCTAATTTGTTCTCTTCTTATACTAATTGTTCAAGATAACAAGTTAAAATAGCTGATTGTTCTCTTTCATCTGTGTCTGGCAAAGGTTCAGTGTCTATTACTCCTTTAATGCCACTTTCTTATGTATTGCATGTTCCTAACCTGTCTAATAGTCTCCATTCTGTTAGTAATCTTACCAAACAACTTAACTATTGCGTGACCTTTTTTCCCACACATTGTGTTTTTCAGGATCGTGTCACAAGGAAGACGATTGGCAGTGGTAAGAAAAGAGACGATCTTTACTTTCTGGACTCTCAAGGGTTACCTGATGGTCCAGTTCAGCAAGCTCATCAATCTATGACATGTGCAACTTCAAAGGAGCAGTTGTGGCTTCTACATCGACAATTCGACCATCCTTCATTTCTTTTGTTACAAAAAAAATTTTCCTTCTTTGTTTTCTCAATTAGATATTTCTAAATTGGTTTGTGAACCTTGTGAACTTGCTAAGCACAATCATGAGTCTTTTCCTATCAGTAATAATAGTACCTCTCCTGTCACTATATTTCATACTGATGTTTAGGGTCCTAGTCAAGTTGTTCATTTGTCTGGTTTCAAATGATTTGTTACTTTCATTGATGATTTTTCTCGTGTTATTTGGGTTTATTTGATGGAGGACAAGAGTAAAGTGTTTTCTTGTTTTCAACTGTCGCACAACATGATACTCACCCAATTCAATACCCCTATTCATATTGTTCGCTCTGACAATGGGGGTGTGTATTTTAATGGGGGCCTTTGTCCCTATTTTCGTCACCATAGTATTATCTATCAAACCTCTTGCAGTGACACCCCCCAAAAGAATGGTGTCACTAAACGGAAGAATCGTCACCTCCTTGAAGTTGCTAGGGTCTTGAGTTTTTCTGAGTTTTCCCAAGGTCTATTGAGTTGATGTTGTCCTCACCGGTGCTTATCTTCTTAACTGCATGCCTTCTAGAGAGTCCTAGGTTTCCAGTCCTCCATTGAAACTTTTATCCACCTCCTCCGCCTCCACCTAGTTTTCAGTTCCTTTTCGTGTTTTTGGTTGTATATGCTACGTTCATATTCCACAATGTCTACATGGTAAGCTTGATCCTAGGGCAACCAAATGCAACTTTGTTGGTTATTCTCCCACTCAAAAAGATTACAAGTGTTATCATCCTCTGTTAGGTAGACGGTTTGTATCCATGGATGTGACCTTCTTTGAAGCTATGTCTTATTACCTGCCGAAGCCTTCTCTTTAGGGGGCACAGTTGAGTGAAGATCCATCTTCTCCTGTGCTACCTATTGTGTCATGAAGCCCAATGGATCAAGGTTCTAAGGAACATACGGTTTCTATGGAGAAGGAAAATGCTCATGACCATGAAATATCTCCTAGGGAGTTGAAAGTATACTCTAGACGACAGAAGGATAAGACTATCTCTCTTCCATCTACTTGGCAATCTGATTCCTCTGACTCAAGTAGTCTTGTTTGTGTACCTAGTTTTGAACTCTTTGATCATGGACTTATTCCTTATGTTGAATCCGATCTTAATGTTCCTATTGCTCTTCGTAAAGGTGTGAGATCATGTACTCAATATCCTACCTCTAACTTTGTTTACTTGCATCATCTTTCACCATCTTATCATGCTTTTGCATCCCAACTTTCTTTTGTGTTTGTTCCTCTGAATGTCCAAGAAGCACTTAATGATCCTAAGTGGAGAAATGCATGAAGAGATGAATGCTCTAAAGAAAATAATACTTGGGAGCTGGTTGAATTACCTGACAGGAAGAAGTTAGTTGGAAGTAAGTGGGCTTCACTATGAAACATAAGGCGAATGATTTAGTTGAGAAATAGAAAGCAAGACTAGTAGCCAAAGGATTTACTCAAACATATGGAATTGATTATCAAGAGACAAATAGCAAAGATGAATTCCATCAGAGTCATTGTTTCATTGGCAGCCAACAGCTTGATGTAAAAAATACCTTTCTTCATGGTGACTGGGAAAAGGAGGTGTGTATGGATATCCCTCATGGATTTCCACTTCCTAATAATAGTGAAAAGGTTTGCAGTCTAAATAAGTCACTGGTTTGAAGCAATCACTGAGAGCTTGGTTTAAGAGATTTATCAAAGCTATGCTCAGATTTGGGTATTATCAATGTTAAGTTGATCACCCTTGTTTGTCAAACATTCCTCACATAAGAAGACAACTGCACTAATGGTGTGTGTTGATGATATTGTATTTGTTATTTTCAGAGAATACCAAGATTAGGGAATGATTAGGCTATCATCCCCTATTTATATTAATGAAGTTAATAATTACAGGGGAACCCTAAGACACAAAATAATTACAAAATAATAACCCAAAAACATAATATATTATTCTAACACTCTCCCTCAAACTGGTGTGAAGATATCTCCCATGCCCAACTTGCCTAAGATGTCATGAAATGGCTTACTCCCAACTCCCTTGGTGAAAATGCGAGCAAGTTGTTCACCAGACTGCACAAAGGGAGTACATATTGTGCCACTAATGAGTTTCTCCTTAATGAAGTGGCGATCAATCTCAACATACTTTGTCCTGTCATGTAGAACCAGATTGTGAGCGATGTTGATAGCGGCCTTATTATCATAGTATAACTGCATGGAGTCCGTCTGATCAATATCCAAATCACTCAACAATAACTTGATCCATAAGAGCTCACACACCCCTTGTGTCATAGCTCTAAACTCAGCTTCTGCACTTGACCTAGCAACCACATTCTATTTCGTACTCCTCCAACTAACTAGGTTGCCTCCAACAAAGGTGCAATACCCTGAAGGCGATCTCCTATCAGTCACTGATCCAGCCCAGTCAGCATCTATATAGGCTTCCACACGAAGATGATCATACTTTGAAAAATAAAGACCCTTACCAGGAGCAGACTACCTCAAATTCTCATGACAGTCTCGAAGTGAATCTGATGAGGATCATGCATAAACTGGCTAACCACACTGACAGCAACAGCAATATCAGGACGGAAATGAGATAGGTAAATGAGCTTACCCACTAATTGCTGATAGCTCTCCCTGTCAACAGCTGCTCCTTCATCATCCCTCAGTTTCTGATTAGGTTCTAGTGGAGTGTCATAAGCCTTGCAGCCAAGCATCCCAGTTTCCTTCAACAGATCAAGCACATACTTCCTCTGTGAGATAAATATCCCATCCTCGGAGCAAGCAACTTCAATTCCCAAAAAATACTTCAAGCTCCCCAAGTCTTTGATTTTCAAACTCATTGGCTAAATATTTCTTCAACAGAAGAATTTCCTCACTATCATCGCCCGTAAGAACTATGTCATCTACATAAATAATGAGTTTTGTAGTCTTACCAAGTGAGGAATGTTTCACAAACAATGTGTGATTTGCCTGACTCTGTTTGAAGCCATATTTAAGCATAGCCTGAGTGAATCTCTCAAACCAAGCCCTTGAAGACTGTTTGAGATCATATAATGACTTCCGAAGCCTACATACTTTGCCTTTTGTCTGATGATCCTCAAAACCAAGAGGAATGTCCATATATACCTCCTCTTCGAGGTCACTATGGAGAAAGGTATTCTTTACATCAAACTAATAAAGTGGCCAACCAAACTGATGAAGTGGACAATTTAGATTAGCTGCTAGAGAGAGAAGAACTCTGACTGAATTCATCTTAGCCATGGGTGCAAAGGTATCCTGATAGTCAACGCCATATATCTGAGTGAACCCTTTTGCCACAAGTCTAGCCTTGTAATGCTCAATAGAACCATCCGCTTTGTGTTTCACAGTATACACCCATTTGCATCCCACAAGTCGTTTGCTCTTAGGTAACTCAATCAATTTCCAAGTGCCATTCTTCCTATGGGCTTTCATTTCCTCAATCATAGCAAGTTTCTACTCAGAGGTAGCAAGAGCATCCTGAAAATGGTTAGGAATGCTAACAGAGGAAATATTTGACACAAATGCTCTATATAAGGACGACAAATGAGAGTAGGACACAAAATTGGAGATAGAGTGTTGAGTACAAGATCTCACACCCTTTCTCTTGGCAATAGGATCATCAAGATCAATGGACTCCAGAGATTTAAAGTTACCTGGACTCTCATCAGAAGTAGGAGATGGCAGTGGATGAGCAAAAGTGGTCTCTTGTATCCAGTTAACTTTGTCTGTCTTTGTCCCTAACATACACTTGCCCTTCCCTATCCTTCGTGATATTGGGTTCTGTAGTCCCAGTAGGAGGTGGTGGTGCAAGAACAGCAGATTCCGCAATAGGAATCACAGGAATCACTTCACACCAAGGCTCCCTCTGAAGGGAGGACTGTGACACCAGATAGGATAAGGAATAGGACTAGGACTCAAAGAAAGTAACATCTATAGACACAAACCACTTACAAGAATGAGGGTGGTAACACTTATACCCTTTTTGAGTAGGAGAGTAACCAAGGAAAACACATTTGAGGGAACGAGGGTCCAATTTACCATGGGTAGGAGAGTGAGTATGGACAAAACAGACACAACCAAATATTTTGAGAAGAATAGAAAACAATGACTGAGAACCTAGGAGAACTTAAAGAGGAGCTAGTTTTTGCAAGACCTGGGTAGGAAGACGATTAATAAGATGGGCAGCGGTGAGAACGACGTCACCCCAGTGAAACCGAGGCACACTCATAGAAAAACACATGCACCGAGCCATGTCAAGAAGATGGCGATTCTTGCGTTCCGCCACCCGATTTTGTTGAGGCGTATTGGTGCAAGAGGTCTGATGGATAATGCCATGAGTATAAAAATATTGCCCTAACCCAGAATCTATGTATTCAACCCCATTATCAGAATGGAATATTTTGACAATGGCCCCAAATTGAGTACAAATCATCTTATGAAAATTGTGAAACACAGAGAAAACATCATTCTTGTCTTTATGAGATACACCCAAGTAGTACGAGAAAAATCATCAATAAATGTAACAAACCAGAGATGATATTTCACAGACACAACACGAAATGGACCCCAGACATCAAAATGTATTAATGAGAAAGAATCTAAGCTTTTACCAAAACTGGAAGCAAAAGAAGCTCTGTGTTGTTTTCTAAGCTAACAAGACTCACAAAGAAATTCAGACACATTATTGTTTGAAAAAACAAATGGAAAGAAATGCTTAAGTAAATAAAAAAAAGGATGCCTAAGACGCCGATGCCACAACCATATATCATCGGTGGTAGTAGGACCCGTGGTGAAAAAATGAGCAAGCTTGTCCCGTTGATCCAGGAAGTAGAGACCATTTTCTGCACTACCACTGCCAATCGTCCTCCTCGTGACAAGGTCCTGAAAAAGACAATGATCAGGAAAAGATGTCACACTACAATTCAAATCCTTTGTAATACGACTCAAGGATAGCAGGTTAACAGAAAAATTGGGAACATGAAGAACAGAAAAGAGGTAAAGTAGGAGTGACATGGACTAAACTTTTCCCAGAAACAGTACCATCTGCAATCTTGACTTTGTCCTGACCTAAAGAGGGCTTATAGGCAGAGAAAAGGTCACAGGAGCCAGACATATGATCTAAGGCACCAGAATCAAAAATCCAAGGCAAAAACTTATGAGACAAGAAAACACAAGGAGAAGAGGCTAAGTTACTTAAGCGGGCAAACGACTAGGACGATGTACTAAGAGCAGTAGAAGACCGGCGGTCTAGCAAGTGACGCAGAACATCCTCAAGCTCATGAGTAGTCATGTTAGAGAGACCATCAGAAGCCTGGCCAACAGAAGCAGAAGTAGAATCAAGTGTATCAACGACACTAGACTGATGAGCCCGTGGATAGGAGCCACGTCCTTTAGACTGGCTTGACCAACCTCCTCTAGAACCAGACCAATCACCTCGACCCTAGGATGGAGTCCCATGAAGCTTCCAACATGTCTCACAAGTATGTCGTGGCTTCTTACAGTAATCACAGAATACACAGTCCTTGGCGGCAGATGGAGAGATGGGAGTCAGGCTGAGGCCATCTCTAGAGGTAGACAGTAATGCTGAGCGGTCAGTAGAGACAAGGGACATCATAGCAAACTGGCGACTCTTCTCATTCTGTACATAGGCAAATGCCTCCTGAAGTGAAGGAAGAGTATCCATTCTCAAAACTTGACTCTGAACCGGATCATAATCCACATTGAGACCGGCCAGAAACTTGAAGACCATTTCCTGTGCAATGAACTTTCGGTACCCGACCAGCAGTGCAAATAGGTTTATAGTCTTGCAGGTGATCAAGGAGTTTCTAGCCATTGGTGAGGAAGGTGAAGTACTAAAGAACCGTCTGCTCCCCCTGAACAAAGCTCACAATAGAGCGGCGCAACTCAAATGCCTGTGAGAAATTCCCTTTGTAAGAATAGGTGGTAGCCACAACATCCCAAACATCTTGGGCAGTCTCCATAGATAAGTAGCCCTCGCCAATGTCTGGTATCGAATGAATAAGCCAACCCATAATCAAAGAGTTGGTAATCTCCCATTGGTCACAACCCGGGTCAACTGTGCTAGGTGCCTGTATCTTGCCATCCAAATACCTCATCTTCCCTCTACTCTTCAAAAACATAGTCAAACTCTGCGACCACGCGAAATAGTTCTGACCATTAAATAGAGAGGTAGTGATTTTAATACTAGGGTTGCGGTTCTCAGTCATAGTAGTAGGTATAGGGAAACTCTCACTCCTAGGTGTCGAAGAAGTAGTGGATACACCGGTGGAATATGCCATAGATACTATACTACCAAACCCTCAACAAAACTAGTGCCAATCACAAACTCGGAAGGCAGAGGAATATAAACACAATGACCACTAAGAAAATTAAAGACTTAAAAAACTCATCAACTTTTTCTTCTTCTCTCTTTTTATTTTTTTATTTTTTTATTATTTGTGTGTGTGTGTGTGTTTTTAAATTAAATTAAAGGGAAAAATGAGGTGAGGTGAATATAGACCACAAACAGAGCTTCCAAGTCACGAAGAGAACTCATCGATGCATCATCACGAAGACACGACAAGAACAGACGACAAACAATCAGAGACAGATGCACCCAGTCGAGGCTACGACGACAGCAAAGGCAGACGCACCTAGTCAGGGCTGCCTAGGGCTCTTCCAGCCCAGTCAGCTATTGCCGTCAGGCCTCCTAGCCTTAGCTTCGTCAGCGACACACCCAGTCAAGGCTGCCTAGGGCTCTCCTAGCCTTGTCAACCACTGCCGTCAGGCCTCCTGACCTGAGCTCCGTCGGCAAGTGAAGATAGTCCTAAGGGTGTGACGATGGAAGACAACTGTGTGGTGGCTCTGTGGTGGCTCCGGTGGGTACTGCATGGATAGAGAAATTTAGGTTTTAGGGTTAGGCTCCATGTTATTTTTAGAGAATACCAAGATTAGGGAATGATTAGGCTATCATCCTCTATTTATATTAATGGAGTTAATAATTACAAGGGAGCCATAAGGCATAAAATATTTACAAAATAATAACCCACAAACATAATATATTATTCTAACAGTATTGACTAGGAATGATATAGTTGAGATGGAGAAATTGAAGAATTCCTTGGCTAAGGAGTTTGAGATAAATGACTTGGGGGAATTAAAAAACTTCTTGGGTATTGAGGTTGCTTAATCTAGACATGGTATTTTCATCTCCCAACGTAAGTATCTACTTTATCTTCTTAAGGAGACCACAATGTTAGGATGTAAACCTATAGACACTCCTATTGAACAAAATCATAGACTGGGGATAGTAAAAGTGATATTTCTATTGATAGGGGTCGTTACCAAAAACTTGTTGGTAGACTTATTTACCTTTCACTCACTCATTCCAACTTAGCATATAAGTCAGAGTGGTTAGTCAGTTTATGCATTCACCTCGTGAAGTTCATATGGAGTCTCTATATAGAATTTTGCGGCACTTGAAGTTAGTTCCTAGTAGGGGCATATTGTTTTCAAAACATGATGGTTTGCAAATAGAAGCTTATAATGATGCAGATCGGGTAGGATCCATCACTGATAAGGGATCCACTTCAAGGTATTGCACCTTTGTAGACAGTAATCTCGTGACGGAGCATACCAAGAAGAATTTGTGGTTGCCAGATTGATTGCAGAGGCAGAATTTAGAGCAATGGCTCATGGAATATGTGAATTGCTCTGGTTGAAGTCAATTTTGAAAGAGTTCGGTTTTAATCAGAAAATCCCTATGAAACTGAAATTAATATTGCACACAATCTAGTCCAACATAATAGAACAAAACATGTGGAGGCTGATAGACACTTCACCAAAGAGAAATTGAATGAGGGTTTAATTTGTACAGTATTTATGAAGACAAGAGATCAATTTGCAGATATTTTGACCAAGGGAGTTTTACTCGGTCCTTGACAAGTTGGGCATTCGCAATATCTTTGTCCCAACTTGAGGGGGAGTGTTGGCTATGTGTTAGTAAGGAGTATTGTAATTTTCCTTACAAGTATAAATAATAAAGAATGGGGAAGAGAACCCTAATGTTCTCATTCTCTCTCTTCCTCTACGGCTGTTTCTCACCTCTCTTCTCTCCTCTCTTCTCTTTCTCTCTTCATTCTTCTATTGTTTTATTCAATTCTTCACTAATGCCAAAATTTGGCCAAAGATCAACATAATCATGCTTACCAGCTGTCATGACAGCAGCAGTGGAGCCCCTTTTCTCTCCTTCTTGATCATCCCTTGCATTTTTTGAAGAGGATGATAAAGGCTTGCGGCTAACATCTTTAGTCAGCTGAGAACCAGAAGCTGCATCGGTTCCTCCTTCACGTTTCTGCCGGGCCTGCTCAGCCATTAGTTGCCATTTTGACAGCATATCATCTCCTCCAACGGCAGCTCGGGCAGCAACATTTGCAGCTGTTGTCCGCATTTTGTCATCCTCCTCTTTGTTTGCCTGTATACATATTTAAAAAAGTTAATAATAAATAAATCTTTGTTTTCTTTTAGTGGCAAATGGTTTGCAATCAATCATACTTGATACCTTAAGTGATTTCGCACGACCATCATCCTTCTCCTTATCGCCATCAACTCCAGCATTACCTTCTGGCTGCAATCACAAACAAAAATATAGAGAACTTAAAGCATATACACCTAAAGAGGCAAATGCATAAATTAAATTTAACAAATGAGAGAAACTCACATCATTGAGCTTTTGGAGTTTTTCTGCTTCAGCCTGCTTTTTCTCCCATTCTTCCCTGGCTTTTCGGTTCATTGCCAAGATTTGTTGCTGAACATCTGAAGTGATAAGAGTTCGGTGCCCTGGCTTCTCAATATTGACCCGCTGCAGAATTTATTTCAGACCATCAAAATAATGAGTCCTTTCAACTTTCTTCTTTACAATTTTTAAAAAAGAACAAAGGACAAAAAAGGAGAAAAACTGACCTGTTTTGACAATCTGATCAGATTCCTTATCAGTCCACGCATTCTTTCCTCCACACACTGGCCATTCAGTTGCATAAGAAAGGTGAAAAGATTAACAAGCAAGAAGCAGAAGTGTCAAAAATCTCACCAATGACAAGCATCGCTCCACATCATTGTTCATACTCCTTAGACCACACTTTGACACTGTCACAAATACACACCATCCCAACATGTCAAGCTATGTACTTTTAAAATTGCTTTTGCCTCCAGAAACTAAATCATAAATTCACATGATATGAATACTCTCATCACAAAATGAAGAAGCTTTAACTGATTTCTGCCAATTTTTTTTGAAGAGGAATTTTCTGCAAAATCAGCCTTTCTTCTTCTTCTTGTACAACCCTTCGAGATGCGTCTGAAACTCGACTATCTTCCTTGGGCCCAGAAAACAGTTGTTCTTCCTCTTCCTATGTTACACGAAATATCAAAAGAATTGTGAGCTCCTTACTTAAAGCCAGTGCATTGTACATTTAGCAGTTACTTTTAACTACATATAAAGTTGGTAGCAAAATAACTTACCCTAAGATTAACTCCACTGACAGCAGTTACATCATTGAGTTGTTCAATGCTTTGATCCAAGAAGGCCCCAGATAGTTTTTGCTTCTTACTGTCAAAAATCCCATAAATGTGTGAATACAGGGGAAAAAATGGTTGATAATGAGAAGTATGAAACAAAATTACACCGACCAATCAAAATTATCCTCCAGTTGTGTTAGGCAAAGAGTTATATTACCTTGGTAGGGGTGGCGAAGAACCAAGTGATTCAAGTGGTTTCTTTTGTCCAATAGAAGGCTTTTTCGGGGGTGTCCTCACATTATTTCCAGGTCCAACTGGAGGCGTTGCAGATGAGATCTGAGAACGTAACTGATAAAACATGAAGGCAAAAGTATGCCAATCAATAGCAGTAAGCGAAGATATGATAAAAGAAGTCACTAGTGATTACTTCAAAACAAGAATTTGACAGCAGAGTAAACCACAAAGTAGACCCAGGTTGTAGCCCAAGTGGTCATGGAGAGGGCACTTAGGTGTCAACGTATGGAGAGACATTGGCCTGCATTGTAATCTTAACTATTAACACACTAACACTATCTTTGTCACCAAAAAAATAAAAAAATAAAGTAAACTAGAAAGAAAGTCCCTTTTTCTAACAGAAAAATAAATATTTTCATTAATAGGAAAACAAAATGCCTTAAAATTAAAAAAAAAAAAAACAAACAAACAATAACAACAAACAAAAAGTGGGTTGAGTTGGCTTATCAACGAAGAAGAAAAATCTAGGAATCACTCCTAGAATCCCTTTAGACATCACACCTAGGGTCTAGTTGCATCACACAAACCCTAAAGAAACTTTAAAGCTCTCAACTTTTTGTAAAATATCAACTCTATTGAATTAGAGGCATTTCATGGCTTTATATAGACTTTAGAGACTTCCTAAACCAACTACAATAAAAAAAAGAAACTACCATAATATCTTAGACTTTCAAAACTAATTTAAGACCAAATAAGAAACACAAATAAAATTCAATTAAATAACTTGATCCACAAGACGACCCATGAGCGGCCCATATAACCCATGTCAACAAATATAAAATTACCAAAATACCTAAAAATCCTAAAAACCATAAAAAATAATAATAAAATAAGACTCTAATAATACTAGAAACATAATTATAGAAGATTTCTATCAGTTTCTCTATGAAATTATGCCAATGTCCAAGTATCATCACTTCTCTAAATTTAGCCTTCTTTGAGTTTCTTATACTCTGCATCATTAAGGCTCTCTTAAATCATTTTGTCAATACCTATTCTAAGCTGAAAATTGATAATCTATAAATAGAATTTAAAAGCACATGACAATCAGTTTTTTCAACTTATGTATGTTATTTTTACAGCATAAGCTATAAACAAAAGTTACAACAAAGAGTTTAGTACAGAATCCCCAAATAAAAAATAAAAAAGAAGCCATAAGCAGCTTATTTAAGTTACAAGAAACAGGCCTTCTATATATATATATATATCACTCTGCTTCAGAATGTTTCTCCAGATTTGAGCAGAGAACTGGCACTCAAAGAATAGGTGATTAGTCAATTTACTTAGGCAAGACAGCCATTTAATGAATGCCCACTTGGAACATTTTGATTAAACCACAAAAGTAAACAACTTTGCTCACGAGCTCACAGCCTCCCAAACTCATTTTGGAGAATAGACCCCATTAGAAAAGCAGATCCAAATTACATTATCAGGTCTTGTTGTTACTGCCTGCTGAGTTTTAGGAGTATTTTCCATGATCTCCTAGGTTACTCTGTTTCTCATTCTAGGCCACTTCCAGGTTCCATGATATATAAAAAAAAAAAAGTGAAAAATAAATCTTAAATAGAAAAAATAATAATGATGAAATAATAAATAAATGTAAAAAAAGCCTCATTTAAAATTGTTGCTTTAAGCCTCAAATTACCTCAAGCCAGCCCTGTAAATAAACCAGTCACCTCAGCTCTCCATTATTAGAAAGAATCCAAACAAGACTGTTTAATGGCACAGTTCTCTTTCCTATCTATAAATTTAACAGCACAACTGCAGGATGAATGCTAACAAAAACTAAACAGATTTTGGCTTCAACTAGCACCTATAGACAACCAGACATTATAAAAATATCCATATTGCAGGAAAAAAAAGTACATTTTTATGTTGAGTATCCAAACCTATGAACCTATTTGTCATGGAAGATTTTTACAACAAACAGAAAAGGGGATGGTTAATTTTCCTTCAAATTTTCTATGTTGTCTTCACTGTTGCACTGGCAGAGTGATTTTAAGTGGATGGGAATTTATTACAGCTCATCCTGATTTTTTGAATTCATGCATCGGAAACTCAAACAACAAAACAAGCAGATAAGTGTAAATGATCAAAACAAGGTTACCGAGATATTAGGGTCCAGGCCCAGCTGGGCAGTGATAGACATCCTCGAGGGCTGCGCCTCAAGAGTTTCATCTTCTAAAGTTCCTGTAATTGCATTCCCACGTTCAACCTGTAAAGGAGAGAAAGAAGACAATCCCTGGGGAGAAGACAACTGTGATTTGTGCTGTTGCTCATTCCCCTGATCAACTGGCTCTTGTTTAACGTGAGTCATTGATGATAGAGCACAATTTTTCTGCTCTTTACTTGTTGATGATTGCCATTGAACTGAATTCTGTTGCAAAGTTGAATTATTTGTCAAATGGGTTAGAGTTCCACCCTGCACTCTCTTCGGTTCACTAAAAGGATTTTGCCTCTCAAAATTAGGCACATTCAACACATTCATGACCTGAGTTGATGTTCCTAACTGAGTTGCACCAATACTTTGATGAACGGGACCCTGCCTCATTTGTGAATCATGGGGCTGTTGTTTGAGAGATGCTGCTGAAGAATTAACATTTGTTCCAGAAAATGGGTGACCATAATTACCACCTGTACTTCCATAAATGGGAAAAGATGATTGTGAGAAGTGCAAATGTTGTTGCTGCTGCTTGCTAAGTCCTTGTATGGGGATTGTGGACCGCTCCCTTTCTTGGTTTATGTTACTCAAACTGGATGAAGACATTTGGCTTGCTGGCATACCATGTGAATCTAAATGGCTTTCCATCTCTTGGGATTTTTTACCATTATTATCCGTCGCTGCATTGCTTGAATCAGTCTTCAGTTGAGCTGTGGAAGAAGGAATATGAGAGGGGTCTGTAGGAGAGGTGACACCCTTCCGGTGAAGTTGTGCAAATGACTGGGGAGCCATTCCCTGTTGGGCACCAACAGGTGGCATTTTCAGATGATGTTGCGCAGATGCTTGAGACTGTAATGAGAATTGGTTGGGTCCAGTCTGTGAATTTCGAGCAGCCTGTTTTCCAGTTGGATTTCAGCACTAAACCCCAACCAAAAGAGACTCAATATAATTAGATAATCAGTTTATATTTACCTGGGCTTGCAATTTATACACTGCCATCTTGAGCATCTGGTCCCCTACAATACCTCTCATGTGCCGGACAAATCCATCTTTGGATATTTCATTTTTCTGAAAATAGCAAAATATTTTACCCATTAGGATGAGATGTAATACAAAAGAAATCATCCCATGCAAGACATTCATAACAGTTAAAGAAATGCATGTCATAGACCCACCTTTAATTTATAATAAAGAGTATGAAGTTGCATGGCTCTGTCTTTATCAAGTTGGGGTTGTAAGACCGGAAGCAGCATGGCAAATGGAACTTGTTTTCCACGGTTCATTGGATTCGTTGCCTGTTCTGTTGTCATTGCCTGTTGATTATTCATATTTTGTAACTTTGGGTTATGAGACTCACTCTCTGGATTGTGTGTTCTGTCTGGCTCTAGGTTATGGACAGGATTCTTTTCAGAACTCTGAACACCCAGTGTTTGAGAAAAATGGAAGGGATTTTGTTCCAATTGCCGTTGCTGACGGTCATCTTGCGGCTGTTTCAATTCCTGTGAGGTGTCAATTTGTTGCTGCTGACACTCAGGACCTACACCATGCTGCTTTAGCTCCATTTCGGATGAATGTGGATCTTGCTGCTGGGATCCATTCAGATCTTGACGATTTTGAAAATTGGCATTTTCATCTTGGCTGGAAGTTTGCCACTGTGGAAATAACTGACTGGAAGTGTGATTGCTTCCTTGAGATAAAGCTACTGTTGAAGTTCAGCATATCATGATTAATCAAGAAGTTTCTAACCATGGTGTACAAAACAATAGAAAAGCCAAGACATGAAATTACAAATCCACAGTATACCTAAGAATGCATGCAAGTTAGTCACAGGCTTTAAGTTCCAAAATCTTCAAAAGTGAAACTTCAAAGTGTGATCCTTGATGGACTCACTATATTATAAAAACAATAACAATTGAACGGAAAATATTGAGCCATTTATATTGCAGTACCCTACTCAGTATGACTCAATAGAAACTCACAAATGTATTCTCATTACAATGCTCTGTAATTAATCATAAATAAATAATATAAACAAAAACAGCAAGCTTTTACAAACCAAATAGTTCCCAGAATCATCAAACTCACCGCTTAGTCCTTGTTGCAGCCTTATTGCTTAGTCCTCACTAAGCTATCACACTTGGACAACTATAACAACAAAAACTCATTGCAGCCTTATTGCTTAGTCCTCACTAAGCTATCACACTTGGACAACTACAACAGCAACAAAAGGCAGGCCTCTTCCTTCCAGACCACAAAGTTAAATAAGTATACTTTTTAACTTTTTACAAAAAGATGTGAAAAAAGCAGAGAGCTGACGCGACCCAAAAAAGATAAAAAGATAAAAATAAAATAAAATAAAATAAAAAAGTGCACCTTTGTAGGGGATGCCAAATAGTGCCTAATAAATGTAAAATACCATATACAAGCTGGTTTACACGAATAATTAGCCAGGCTTCCGCATGGAATTTGGCATCTGAACCCGTAGGGGAAAGTTATCCTAGCATGTGAAATGTGGAAAATGCTAAATCAGAATTCATAATTCTCGACTTAGCTCCCAAACCGATCAATGATTCAGTTTCTTATTACATTAAACTAAGGCTGTGTTTGGTTCATAGATTTGGGTAGGGATTTGGAAAGAGAAAGGGAAAGGGAAAAGGTGTGTGAAATGTAGCTATATTTCATCCACATTTCACATAGGTTTTCCGTTTCCATTTCCGTTTCCAAATCCTTACCCTAAACCACACACAGCCTAAGTAGACGCTTACAGTCAAATTTGTTTCATTGCATTAATTTATATCCTTAACTTTTATATCCAAAATATCTACAGACGAATATATAATTATAGGTGGAGATTTCAATGGTCATGTAGGAAAAGATAAGCTGACGTACAAGAGGATACATGGTGCATATGGTTTTGGTGACCAAAATGAGGCCTTAGGGTGAATCTTTAGGGTGAATCTTAGATTTCATGGTAGCATTTGATTTTATAGTAATCAACAATTGTTTAAAAAGAGAGAATCTTTAATAACTTTTAAAAGTGGGTCAAATAAGAGTCAACTAGATTATTTTCTTTTTAAAAAAAATAGATTGCTTAATATGTAAATATATATATATATATATTGATAAATGGAAGTAACTTTATTAGAAAAAGAGCATCAAGATGATGCTAACAAATACAATGAAACCAACAAAACTACATATCAGCTAAACAAAGAATCAACAAAATCCAGAAAATAAAACAAATCTGGCTCAACCCTCCCTAACACCCAACTAGACAACACCATTAAAAATTTATTCTTCAAACAAGACACCGACACGCAAACCCCTTGAAAAGTCCAACGATTACGCTCCAACCAAACCAACTACAGAAAACACAGGGAAGCCTAATTCCAAGCCTTCCCCCGATGCCGCTTCCCCACCAGACACCCCCTCCAACTACACAACACCTCCCTCACATTCCCCTGCTGCACCCAATTCAAGCCAAACACTGGAAAAATCAACCACCAGAGCTAAAAAGCGACAGGACAATGAAACAGCAAATGCAGGACGAATTCTGCGTCCTGGCAACACATAGAACACCAATTGACCAAAATCTGACGACAACGAATCAAATAGTCCAAAGTCAAAATCCTATCACGCACACCTGTCCACACAAAAAATGCCACTTTAGTTGGCGCACCAACAAACCACACACTCCTCCATGGGAATGAACAATCCACAAGGCCCACCTGGGCCCGGTAAAAAGAACCCTGCCAGAAAATCCCTTTAGCACCCTTAGTAAAAAGAACCCATTGGAACCTGACATCCCATACCACCCTCCCATTTAGTGGAGATAGATATGATGATACCACAACATCCTTATCAGAAACCAAACTACCAAACTCTGATCTCCACACCACCTATCCTTCTAGAACCACACCCGCACACCCTTTCCCACCCGAAAACTAACCCACCGCCAAAACTCCCTCACACCTAGCCAAATACCTTTTCACAAACCCCAACCACCCTACCCAACCTCATATTTTGCAACCACAATCCGACGCCATAGACGCTCCGTTTCACCTATAAACCGCCAAAGCCACTTCCCCAATACAGCCCTGTTGAAAACCACCAACTTCCTTAACCCCAAACCACCCCCATGTTTCGGACTACACAACTCATTCCATCCTACCAAATGGAACTTAGATTCATCACTCAAACCACCCCAAAGGAACTTCAGTTGCAACTTCTCCAAAAGTCAAACATCTGATGCTGGAATGACATGCACTAACACAAAATACATAGAAATACTCCCTCACGTACTCTTGATCAACATCAACTTCCCGCCTTTAGACAAGTATTGATGAGTCCAACCTGCCAAATGACGCTAAACCCGCTCCACCACCCCATCCCACACAACCGTTGCTTTATAAGCTAACCCTAAAGGCAAACCCAAATATGATATTGGCAAAACAAAAACCTTACACCCCAGAATCGCCGCCAATCAAAGACCACCCACCATCAAATTTACTCTCAAACCTGAAACCACCTCAAAACATAAAAACACATATCAAAGAGCACCTAATTGCGCCACCTCAACGCCAAAAAAAAAACAAAAAGGACATCATCAGTATACAAGAGGTGAGACACAACCAACGGCTCACCCGCCTCCATGCCCACTTTGAAACCTTCCAGCAAACCCCCTTGCACCACTCCAGACAACAAACGACTTAATGCCTCCATAACCAAGATAAAAAGCAAAAGAGACAAAGGGTCACCCCAGCGCAACCCACGACCAGTCTGGAAAAAAACCCACAAGGGTCCCATTCGCCAACACCAACATCTGAACCATCAAAATACAAAACCGCACCTACCGAATCCATTGCCCACCACCATAACCCATCTTCTCCAACACATAGACCAAAAATTCCCAATCCACATTATTGTAAGCCTTCTCAATATCAAGCTTACACATAACCCTAGTCGACCTTCTGGATACTAGAATCAACACATTCATTTGCCACCAACACAGCATCTAAAATCTGACGACTTGCCACAAACACATTTTGAGATTCTGAAACAACCTCCTTAAGGGTGCCTTTAAATCTCCTTGCCAGAACCTTAGCCAAAAGCTTGTACACACCCCCCAACAAATTGATCGGCCAAAAATCATGAATATCCTTTGCCCCGCCTTTCTTAGGGATCAAAGCAATAAACGCCACATTGACACTTCTCAAAACGCCCACACTTAAAGAACTACCCAAACATGGCCAACATATCTCCCTTAACCATCTCCCAACAGTGCGGGAAAAAAGCCAAAGTGAAACCATCAGCCCGAACCTGTATCCCCATTAAGCTCGAACCTGTATCCCTATTAAGCTCACACAACGCCCCCAACACCTCCCCACAAAACGGTCGTTCCAACCCCTCCCATCATCATCCGAAATTCTATCAAAAACCACACCCTTAAGGCCTAGATGCCACTCTTCCCTACCCCCATGAAAAAGATGTGATGCAGGACAGCATTGTAAGAGCTGTTCTTGGGCAGTGAAAGTACCCGTGAACAGTGTTTAGGCTGGTTAAAGTGCAGAAAATAAAAGAGGGAAACAAGGAGAAGAAGAAGATAAGTCTAGGAATACTCCTAGAACTCCTTAGGCATCATACCTAGGGTTTGATTGCATCACACAATCCATAAAGAAGATTTAAAAGCTCTAAATTCTCTGAAATATCAAGTCTAAATAATTAAAAGCATTACATGGCTTTATATAGAACTAAGAGACTTCCTAAACCAATTAGAACAAAAAAAAAAAACTACTATAATAGTTTAGACTTCCAAAACTAATTTAAAACCAAATAAGAAACATAAATAAAATATAATCAAATAACTTGACCCACAAGACGACCCATGGGTAACCCGTATAACCTATGTCTAGAAATTATGAAATTACCTAAATACCCTAAACTAAAATAACAATAATAAAACATGACTCATAAGCCTAAAACATAACTAGCCACGGTCCCAAATGAGAATGCATGCCAAATCAAAGCATGGGCCTTAGAGGCATCTCTTCCTTGTCTCTTGTACACCTTAAGAGGCTGCTGCCACTTGCCTCCATCAAGATGCCTATAAAACTCTGTTATACCAGCACTGATCTCCCCCTTAGATTCCAACTCCACACCATCCACACAAATATTCTCGATTTGATTGACCCTCCTATAAGCATTACCTATACAATAGAAAAACTTCATATTGTGATCCCCTTCCTTCAACCACAAACACCATGACTGTTGACGAAAACTAATTTCTTCCATCTAAGCAACAAAACTAAACTCCTCTTTTGCCTTGTCCCTAAGAAAGACAGTTGTTGTTGACAAACTCCCCACACTCTCCTGCTCATTTATCTCTTGAATCACTACCAAATTCACCCCATTCTGACCCTCTACATACCCAAATACCTTCCTATTCCATTTCTTTAGATTCTTCTTAAGCAACTTCAACTTCCTAGCCAACCTGCAATCTTATGTTACATGAACTCTTCAAAATAAATCAAATACCTGTGTCGGACACACAACACTCAAGACAAGAGTATGGGATATGTGTCGGATACTTTTCAATAAATACTTCTTATATAATTGCATATAACACTATTATTATATATACATATTGTCATATAATAATTATAAATGTCTTTTTGACACTATAAGTTATATATAGTACTATTTTATCTCACATGATTAAAAATATAAAAATAAGACATTTTTTTGCGGAGCCCACATACCCTTAAATATATAGTTTGATGAGTATGATATCAAGATACATACCCGCACCGGACACCGGTATCCAAGTCCATGTAACATAGCCTGCAACTACGAGAACCAAACACCACATAACCATTCCACTAACCCAAACCATATCCAAGAAACCTTCAGATTTCAACCACATGTTTTCAAACGGAAAAGGCGACAGACCACAACGAACTCCCCCACTATCAAGCAAAATGGGCCAATAATTCGAAACCGGATAAGACAACTTAATTTGGAGGACAATAGAAAAATGCTCCTCCCAATCCCCAATCACCAAGAAACGATCTAAACGAGACATATCTTGTCCTCCAAACCAAGAATAACAACCCCCTTGTAGTGGCAAGTCAATCAGCTGACCCTCATCAACAAATCTAGAAAACTACCTCATCGAACTAACAAATATATGGCAACTTGCCTTCTTCACCTAGAACCGAACAACTTTAAAATCACCCCCCACACTCCACGGTAACCCCCACCTCAAAGTGACACATTCCAACTCTTTCCAAAACGTAACACGCACAAAACTCAAACATGGGCCATAAACCCCAGTAAAGACCCACCGAAAACCATCCTCCACACACCGAAACACACAAGAAACCGAAAAACCTCCCAACTCCCCTGGGATACGCTCATAATTAATTGAGCACTCAAGATCACGAAGCTCTCAATCCCCCTTCCTCCACTTTGTCACCTCCACCACACCCTCTCTAACCAGCACCTTACTACGCCATGACGCCACAATCATTGAAAACAACTAAAACGCTTCCACTTCCTCCTCATGTCCCTCAAAGGGCACCCCCAAAACACGACTCACCTCATTAATCCGACCTAACACCCATTCTGACACCTCTTCTGCAGACGGGCACATCCCTACCCTGGAAACCCGTCTCCACTCCCGTCTCATCCTGACCCTTGATCACTACAATTGGTCTAGCCAACAACTAATCCACATCTTTCTTGCCATTAGCCTCCCCAACCCTAAAAATTGACCCCCCTTCTCCATCATTAGTCAACCCATCAGCACCATCATCTGCCAGATCCTCCCAACGATTAGGCACCACCACCATCGCCAATTCCCAACCACCCGCTGGACCGGACACCTCCTTGAAGCCCTGACCAACCGAAGGTGTCAACATAGGCTCCGGCAATGGCGCCACATTTGCCACTTGAAAACACCTACCTGATGGCCAACTAACACCCCATAATCCACCATATCAAACACTTGACCCAGCTTAACCCATTGCTCCTCAGCCCTTTGTGTCGTAGCCACCACCACAGCCATATGAGAGCCCACTACTCAATGACCATCAGCCACCACATCGATTGACCTCACGAACCCCAGATTGAACACACTCGGAGCCTGTAGCACTACCTCTTGTGTTGGAAACCTTGCCGGTATCAGAAAACCAGCCTTGCAATGCCCTCCAGACACACTCTGAGCACGCCCACGCTGCGCGTAACCTCACTAGCCCAACGGCCTTCGGAGTGATCCGGAAACCTAGTGTAGAGATGAATTTGGACCCAGATTATAGCCCCATCCCTACACCCCTCGCGAAACAAGCCTGTGTCCAAGCCCATTTTGAAAACCCAACTTTCTATGACAACCATTCTGACCCTGCCCCTTACAGCCCAACCCAAACCCTATAACAGGTGGCCTAGTTGAGAGCCTCACAACACGATCCACACCAACTCCAACCCCAACAGGCCTACCAATTTGTCCCACCAATCAGCCCAACCCCTTGCTCCGACCCAACATTTGCCCATTACGTTACAAGCTCCGACGCATCGACCGGCATTGGGCCACTTCCAAGAAATTATAAAAGATAAGATTTTTAATCCTTATAAAGGAAACTTACCTAAAGAACCTTTTAAGTTACCAATTTGTCCCACCAATCAGCCCAACCCCTTGCTCCAACCCAGCATTGGCCCATTACGTTACAAGCTCCGACGCATCGACCGCCACTTCCAAGAAATTATAAAAGATAAGATTTTTAATCCTTATAAAGGAAACTTACCTAAAGAACCTTTTAAGTTAATTGTACTTGAAAGACATAAACATAATAAAAATTTAAGATATTTTTGGAATAAAATGTTAATTAGGTAGGGTCTTCTACCAATTTATAATACTTATTGGCTTATATTTTATTTTTGTAATCTTTTCAGAGACCAAATAGTTTTGAAGTAAATTCTTTTTAAGGACTTAACAGATTCAATTGATAGTTTAATTTAAGAACTAAGTAGACTTTGATTTATATACTTTAGGGACTTACTAGACTTAATCAATAGTTCAGGGACTAAGTAGATAATTTGGCAATAGTTCAGTGGTAGAAAGTGAAATTAACCGTAATAGAAAAGGACCAAAAAAAAAAACTTATGATAAGGTGCTTAGAGATATAATATAGTTGGTGTGTCAAAGAAAACAGGCATGACAGAAGATTATATTAATGTGATAAAAGATATGTATGATAGTTGTAACTACAATTAGATCATCTATAGGTTGTAGAAGAAACTATTGAATTTTAAATCATTGTAAGGTTGCATCAAGGGTCCCTTCAGGTCCTTAACTACTTTTCCTTAATCATAAATTAATTAGCACATTCAAGATGATATCTCCTGGCGTATGTTGTTTGCAGATGATAATATTCTAATGGATGAAACTAAGGAAGAAATTAACGGTAAATCTTTACCTACTTTAATTCTATGGATTACATGATCTCCAACCTCACCATATTTATTAATACAATCGAACCTAGGTAACAAGAATGTTCACTATTTGTATTCTTCTAGATTCCAATCTTCACTTCTCTATTATTTTTGCTTTTATAGTTACAAAATTACATTCTATATATTCAGTTTTATTTCAATTAATTTTAAGCATTTTTTTACTCAAGTGTTTTTCTCCAAATTTCTAATTTAGTGTTAGAGAAGAAGCACTTGCCTAAAAAATATTAAAATTAATAAAAATAAAATTGAAACCTATGAAATGTAATTTTTGTGACAATAACAGTAGAAATAATAGAGAAGTGAAGACTGAAAACCAGAAAATAACAAATGGTGAACATTCTTGTTACCTAGGTTCAATTATTAAAAAGGCTAGTGATGATGGAGATAATGTAATCCACATAAATAAAGTAGGTAGCTCAAGTGGAGGAGTGCATCAGACATATTACCGGATTGATGGATACCAATAAAATACGAAGAAAAATTTATACAACAATTATAAGACCAGCAATGTTGTATGGAACAAAATGCTTGGAATCTAAGAAATAACATGATCATAAAATGAGTGCAGCTAAGATAAGAACGCTTAGATGAATGTGTGACAAGATTATGAAAGATAAAATTAGAAATGAAAATGTCCTTGAAACGACCGGAGGGGTCACACCATTTAGGGATAAATTGAGAAAAAATAGAACATGGTTTGGTCATGTACAAGGAAAACTTATAAATACAATGGTAAGAAAGAGTAATATGATCACTGTAAATAAAAATGTTAGGGGGAGAAAACCTAAACCAACATGGATGTGGCACTTAAGAAAAAATAATTTTTTAATTTAACTAATTAACCTATCCCACTTGAGTGGGATACAAAGCTTAGTTTGGTTTGATTTTGTAACTTTCTATAATATCCGAAATAGAAGCAAAATAATACAAATAAGGGAAACCCATTATCTTCTTCCATACTTGAATTACATGTTGTTTATTAGCTAATAGAGGGGCTATTTATGCTTTCATTTTCAAGAAATATAGAAAAGCCAGAAGAAAGGGGTTGTAGAGAGGTACATACCACTGTCGGAATCAGAGGGTTGAGATGTGGACGTATCGCCCTCTATGTCTCTGTTCAGAGCAGCTGTGAACGCCTCCACGTCCGCCCCTGAATGCATTGTTTCGTCCTACAAACATATATCATCATCAGATAAATAATAAAAAGATTCAGCCTTTATTAACTTCCCAGATTGTACAGACCCCCATTCTACAAATCCAAACAATCTCTAACGTATTTGTGTTTCTGTTCTGCGGGTGTGGATGCTGTGGTGGATGTGCATAGATACATATATATATATATATATAGAGAGAGAGAGAGAGAGAGAGAGGGAACCTCGTCCTCTTCGAGGAGCTTCATAATGGAAGGGTCCATCACAATCTCTGATTTCGCAGGCTGGTGATTGAGAATGGTGTCCGTGTTTTGTATATGCTATGGGCAATTGATCGGTTGCGACTGCGAGGTGAATCTTTCTGCTACCAAGACAAATCTGGTACCTCTTTGACGACGAATTGGAATTGGAATTGGGAATTGGAATTGCGAAACTGAGGAAAACAGTGATAACTTAGCCAAGGACAGACTGAAATCTCCAACGATCTTATTATGTTCTTTCCTTTTTTGCCCGTGATGTCTGATCCGATGAGATATGAGCGGTTTATGCTTTGGCAGCTATGGGTCTTTTTTGCGAACGGTCCAGCTTGTCTCCGGTTAGAGATCAAGACTGGACCGTCTAGTCCAGCTTGTAGGCTTATTTTTATGTTTTGTTTCGATAATTTGAATCGTGTAATATATAGAATTTATTAAGTATTATATCTTTGTAAACAATTGCATTGATTAGATGTCGATAGTTATTTGATAAGATCAGTTTTGTATAAAAAAAATAAATGGTTGATAAAAATCTGATCTGATTAAATAGCTATCGATATCCAATCAATATAATTTTTAACAAAAATATAGTATTCGACGAGTTCTACATATTAACGATTCGGATTATCGAAAAGGAGTCCGAAAATGGACCCACAAACCAAACTGGACAGTCCAATCTTGATCTCTAATTGGAGACAAGCTGGATTTTTTTTGGAAAATTGCTTGCCTCTCCGGTGGATTGGACCATACCGTTGAATGAGTGAGATTTATTACAGGTTTTATTTTGATAATTTGAATCATTTAATATATAAAATTTATTGAGTACTTTATGTCTGTAAAAAATACATGATTGGATATCGATAACTTCTTGATCAGAATAAATTTTTGTTAACAATTTATTTTTAAAATCATATTTATTATTGATAAAAATGTATTCCGATCAAGGAGTTATTGATATCCGATCAACGTAATTTTTTACAGGCATAAAATAGTCAACGAGTTTTACACATTTAACTGTTCAGATTATCAAAAGGGAACCCGTGGTGAGCTCTATGAACTCAATAATATGCTCCGGTCTACTATGTGAGCTGGAGTGAAGTCTCTCTTTTTTTTCTTTTCTTTTTTTTTACAGATATATATCCAAGAAAGAAATACTCATAAATTTATTCTGAAATTTGTGTGATCTAAATTAAATATGGATTGCATATTATTTGTTGGAAAGTTCTGAATATATTTTGGGAGACGTATGACTCATTTTTTCTTGCTCCACAATTTATATTCTAAAATTTGTGTGATCTAAGCTAAAAATGAATTGCATATTATTTGTTGGAAAGTTCTGAATATATTTTGAGGGACCTATGACTCATTTTATCTTCCTCCACTAACCATGTGTAGTTATTATTATAGTTCAACAAATGAATATTGATAATAACTTTGCTATTTTCTAAATTGCTAACTAAAAATGTTATGTATTTTTACATCATAAATTTTTTTTTGTAGAAATTTATCAAATTTTGGCTACAAAATCTTGTGTTGAATTTGACACCAAATTAAGCAATCTATATGGTAAGGGTAAATTACAATTTAACCCTCTGTGGTTTGCCTAAAAAATATAGAACCCTCCTATAATTTCATTTGTGATACTTAAACCCCATGTACTTCATACTAAAGTGCAATTTTGGATAGAATTGTTTGTTTAAACAGAGAGGATGTGTTGCATGACCATGTATGGTGAGTGGAGCAATTTTTCCTGCCCAAAAACACATGACGCATGACCAAAGCACCCTTATTGCTATATACATACAGATTAAGACCGAAACAACATAGAATCTTCTTTTCCTTTTCTTTTGCTATGTAACCGGGGATACCTACCCCTCCTGTAATGAGTTTGCTTTGCAATGAAAAATTTATAACTTTTTGCTCGCCAAGTATGCTTTTCTTTATCATGCATGAACCTGTTTGTCGTGCCAAGCTTATCAACTCGGTCAATGGTTTTCTAGAGCTGGTCAATTCTTCTAACTCACTTTGCCGAGCTAACCAACCGGCCAAAGATTTTTCAAAATTGGTCAATCCTGCCCACCTATGTTGCCGAGCTAACCAGCCAGGCAAAATTTTTCCAAAGTTGGTCAATCCTGCCAACCTACTTTGCCGAGCTAACCAGCCGGGCAGAGATTTTTCTAATGTTGGTCAATCCACCAACCTACTTTGCCAAGCAGACTAGCCGAGCAATGATTTTTCCAAAGTTGGTCAATATTGGCAACCTACTTTGCCGAGCTAACTAGCTGGGTAATGACTTTTTCAAAGTTGGTCAATCTTACCAACCTACTTTTTCGAGCTGACCGGCCGGGTAAAGATTTTTCAAAGTTCAGACTGAAGTAATACAAGTACAGAAAACTACATGGAAAAGTGTGAAAAGAAAACTGTCTACTTAGTTTATTAATGCTGAGCAAAAAGTTAGAAAAAAAAAATTACATCTTCCAATTACATGGTCTTGGAATAGTTCGTTCATCTGTATCTTCCAAATGGTAGGCTCTCTTTCTTGTTAGCCCCACTACTTTGTATGGTCTTTTCCAATTTGGTCCTAATTTTTCATCACCGGGTATCAAAGTGTTTCCCATGGCTTTGAGTAGAACCTAATCTCCTACCTTGAATTGTATTAGGTGCACTGCCTTGTTGTACTTTCTGAATAGCTCTTGTTGATATGATGCAATGTGAATCAGAGCTCTCTCTCATCGTTCTTTTGCAAGGTCGAGTTCCAAGGTTCTTCATTCAGATCTGGGTCAAAGTTTTCGCTTTTAATAGTGGGAAGGCCAACTTCCAAAGGGATGACAGCTTCCATACTGCAGGCCGAAGCAAAAGCGTTTCCCCGGTTAATCGCCTTGGGGTAGTTCGGTAGGCCCATAGAACGTGGGGGAGCTCTTCAATCCACTTTCCTTTCACCTTTTCTATCCAGGATCACTTTGTTTGACTCTTCAACTTGACCATTGGCTTGTGGGTAAGCCGGGGTGGAGTCGTAGAACTTTATCTTGTGCTCTTCATAGAAGCCTCTGAATATCCTTCCATCAAATTGTGTGACGCTGCTTGATATCAAGGCCTTGGAATTCCAAACCAAGTGATAATGTTATGTTAGACAAATTTCTTGACGTCTTTTTCTTTGATGGAAGCAAGTGCCTCTGTTTCAACCCACTTTGTTAAGTAGTCAGTCGTCGCAATGAAGAACTTTCTATTACCCGGTGCGACTAGGAGTGGTTCCACTATATCTAAACCCCACATCGCAAAAGGACAACGGTTGGTTAAATGAAAGAGTTCTTTGGCTGGTTATTGGATTTGGTGCGCAAACTTCTGGCACTTTTCACACTTCCTGACATACTTCTCTACTTCTGCTTGCATATACAGCCACCAATATCCTTGCGAGATAGCTCGGTAGGCCAAAGATCTCCCCCATTGGTGACTTCCACATATTCCTTCGTGAATTTCAAACAAGTAGGCCTCAACCTTGCTAGGGTGCACACATTTCAAGTATGGCCCTATGAATGTTTTTTTATGCAATGCTAAAGATGGGGACAACCAAAACTGCTATGACTTCACTCGAATTTTTTTCACCTCATTCTTGTCTTCTATCAAGATGCTGCCCTTTAAGAAAATAATGATTGGGTCCATCCTAAAAGGTCCTAGCTCGACGCACAATACTTTTTCCTCTTCAGGTTCTTCAATACTTGGCCTTGGCAGGAACTTAATCAACAAAGGGTTTGGAATGGAAGTGTCGAACATTGATGCGAAGCCGGCCAACTCATCTACTTTGTTGTTTTCATCTCGGCCGATCAGTTCTATCATAACGACTTCAAACTTTTTAATCTATGTTTTGACCAGCTCCTAATACTTGGCCATTTTATCATCCTTTGTCTCATATTCGCCAGATATTTGGTTAACTACCAATTGAGAGTCGCTGTACACCATTAGCTCAATAGCCTTCATCCGAAAGGTAGATTTCAGATTGGCCAAGAATGCTTCGTACTTCGCTTCATTATTGGACACTATTATTGGACACTGGAAACCCAAGTCTGATCACCTGCTTAATAGTCAGGCCATCTGGCAAGATAAGGACTATTCCCAATCCAGCTCTATGTTTGTTAGAAGCTTTATCCACAAAAAGCTTCCACATCTCTCCCACGAATAACTTCCAACAAGTAGATGGCTCTGAAGATGTCCTAGTATCTGGTATTTCAACTATATCCTCCAAGTCTTTGTCCATTATTGGTTTGTCAATCTCTTTGTTCAATTGTTCTATCATTTTCCTTTCAAGCACGTCATTGCAAATCGCGTTTGTCATTGCGTGGCTTACTTCATCACCTCCTGGCAATGTGTCGTTGACCTCAGTGGGCAGTGTAACCACTGCTAGGTTCAATAGCGCATTGTGCAGTTCATCCCCTTAAGGTGGTAATGCAACTTGTTGCTAGGTGGTGCGGGGTTGCGCTATTCCCATAGCACTTTTCCCTCTTCGTTCAGTTTCCATAATCAGTTCGACCAAGCAAACAAAGTAACTTCGTGGGGAGAACTCCACCACAGAGTGTGTTAATACTTAGGCCTTTATTGTCGTTCTAGGTTGGAACTTGATATCGAACTGTCCTAACTCCACTGCCCACTTTAGTATCCTCCTAGAAAAGTCTGCCCTTTCAAATAGGGCCTTCAAAGGAAATGCGGCCAATACTACCACTATGTGCACGTGGAAGTAGTGCGGCAGCTTTCTAGATACCATCATTAGAGCCAAGGCAAGCTTCTCTAATGGAAAGTATCTCATTTCAACGCCCAACATTGTCTTGCTCACATAAAAGATAGGCAAGTGTTGTATTTCTTCTACACACCAACACCGAGCTGACGGTGTGTTGGGAAATTACAAGGTACAAGTAGAGCTTTTCTCCAAGCATTGGAGTTGCGAAAAGTGCTGGAGAAGACAAGTAGTCCTTCAAGCTTTTCAAAGCTCGGTCACATTCTTCGTCCCATTCAAATTTCGCCTTAAGCACCTGGAAGAAAGGCCGACATCAGTCTGATGACTGACTGATGAATCTATTCAGCATGATGGCTAACCCTGTTAAGTGCTGCAATTTCTTGATAGTGTTTAGCCTTTCAAGTTTTTGAATGGCCTTAATTTGGAAGGAATTGCTTCTATTCCGTAGTTGGTCACCAAGAAGCCTAAAAATTTACCTGATCCCACGCCAAACACACACTTAGACGCATTTAGTCACAACTTGCGTGCCTTCAGAATTTGAAACATCTCTACCA